AGAGAGACAGAGAGAGAGAGAGAGAGAGAGAGAGAGAGAGAGAGAGAGAGAAAGAGAGAGAGAAAAAGAGAGGAAGAGAGAGACAGAAAAAAGACGCGAATATTTCGGTAGACGCTGTCGGATAGTTGCACTTGGCAGGACGCGCGTGTCGATGGCGAATCGAATCGGCACACACTTCGGCGAAGAACGAAGTTCGGGCGTTGGTCTGCGCCTTACGACATTCACCTGTTCCGTGGACCGTGCTTTATCTGCCTCTATCTATGTGATACTCTTTATACCGGGCCATTCCGCCCGTTATCTGTCCATAAGAACACGGGCTTTTATCAGTTGCTTAGACGTGCGCCGATAACGGAAACTTTAAGCTCACGCTTGCCTCGTTCTGCCTTCTTTCCCCTCGTTCCTGCCTCACCACCTCTTCCACCACCTTCTCCTCCTCCTCTTTCTCTACCTCCTCACCCTCCTCCTCCTCTTCCTCCTCCTCCTCATCATCATGCTACTTGCGCTCGTTTCGACGCTCGTCGTGCCTTTCATCTGCTCGCTCGCTCGCTTGCTCGCTCGCTTGCACGCGCGCGTCGAAGAGCGTCTAGAAAATTCACCGCGACACTTCATCTTTCCCATCTTCGCCGTTCGACTTGATACCGAATCCTGTGCTCAGCGTCTCACCTTGCTTACTGGATACTGTTAAGCTACTCCAATAGACTGATGTACGTAAACTTTGCAGCAACTTTTAGTATATTAAATCACGAGATTCAGTAACGCTGAATCTCTTATGATTAATCAGATTGCGATAATACTTTTATAACATAAAATGATGAAATAGAAGTATGAATGAAAAATACAAAAAAAAAAAGATCAGAATTTGCCCTAAACAATATATCATGGTAAATGTAACATGAAGATCTAAGTGTAACTTTCAGTACATTTGTTGCTGCATCAAATAATAAAAAAATTTACATGAAATTTACATTTTATATCTGGTTTTATCATGAAACGAATTCCGTGAGAAATTGATGAAATTTGCACTATATGCATGGTTAAATATTATCTAACTGCTCATGCAATTAGAAAAAAATGCATCATTCGCAACTAAAATTGACATTTCTTATACGTGTAAGATTAGCATGCTATTTTTAATGCCCGTTTTTAATATCTTATAAGTTGCACGTGAAATTTTAATGAAGAATTGCTTCGATATTAAAGATTAATATACAGACATTACACATAAATTTCGGAATTTCAGAAATAAACCATTTTTTGTTTTTTGTTTTTTAAAATACAGCAGTGGAAAGCTTTAATTTTTTATTTAGTTTATAATTTTTTATAGTTTTTTCATAGTAGTATTTGGATTATAAAAAAATTTAATATTTTTTAATCATTAAAAAAATTATAAAAAATTATATTTTTTAGATAATGGAATAAATATATAGAAATCGTTTGATAGTGATTCGAAATTTATAAGTAGCCCCCTTGGTGCGCCACTGAAAGTACGATACCTAACGATAGTTTACCTTAAAGGGTAAAAAGAAATGCCAAGTGCATACACTCCTTTGCCCAAACGAAATTAAAACGTTGAAATGAAACATTGTTGTTCAAACGGGTATTTCCAAAAGAAATGGTAATAGAAGATTAGGTGAGAGTAACTACTGCAAAAATATCTCACCCTGCTGATACTATTATTTGCAAACTACATGACGAAGCGATACGAAAGTCCACTCCGTGCAAGTTCGCGCGCAAGTGTCGACAGCTCTTCCAACTTCTAACTGCTAATTCTCGATTCAATCGAGAGTTTTGGAGTCAACTTTCGAACTCTCATCTCGTAATCGACGAGGCTCGACTTTCAACTCTCAACTTGCGATTCGCGAGATGTGCATGTCGCGCGGAACCAAGACGGGGAAACGATGAAGATTAATCGAGAGCCCATCGCAAGACTCCAGAGAGCACTCACTGCTTCGAAATTACCGACGAATCTTCTGTTTTCGTCGCATCATACGAAATAAGGTCAAAACGGAGGCGTAGAGAAATGCACATTTTCTCTCTTTTGTCCGGTCCAACTCTTTCATAAACGTGTCCTGAACTCGGCCCTTGCTCGGCTCTTCCTTCCTCGCTTCATCGTCCCTTTTACATCGCACGGCTCGACACGCTTGTACCATCTGCCGTTTTCCCGGCTCTCCGTCGAGGGCCCTCGATGTGGCCGCACCTGCGAGCACCTCGCAGGTAACTCACGGTGCGAGCGTACGTGAGCGCACCTGACGCAGTTACTCGCCGGTCTCTATACTACCTGTATTCGTGCAGCACGTATGCGCGCGTGCTGTTCCACCTGTGCGATCGATTATTGCGGGAAATCACAACAACGGTCACGGCGATTAGTACCGCGCGATCGCGAGATCTCTTCACGGGCAATCTCAAGCCACATTGGCGCCCTGCCTCCTTCGTGTGAGCGCGTTTACCTTCATTCGAACGGTCCAGAGACAATCGACAACCGTGTGACAAACGTTTCACCATTACGTGTCATACAGATCGCCAATTACGAGACTAGTAGTTTTTAATATTCGTAAAACTGTTCGGGCGACGTCGATCGATCGAATCGCGAGATTCCAATCAGCTTTCGGTCTCCCGCTGGCGTTGATTCTTCAGGAAAAAGCGAAGGGCTAATTAAATTGGGGTGAAAGACAATCCACTTCGACAATATCGGTCTTAATTTAAATATGCCGACTTCAATTTAGACTTAAATATACTTGATTCAGATATGCCAACCTTTAATTTAAATGTAAAGTTTGGTTGGCTATTCCTTCACGTCATCTCCTACTATTATATATAGACAGAAAAATGTCTAAAAAATTAAAAATATTTATTCGGTTGGTATAACATACTTACCTAAACCCAAATTCTTCAATTTAAATGTAGTGAAGAGTTATTTTTATGAAAAGTTGAGGTTTTAAGAAAATGTGTAATTTCTTACTCGAGAGATATTTCGTTTCGTTGTGCGAAAAATATATGTATATTAGTGTAAATAAATATATATGTTACCAGTATCCACGCGATAAATTTTTCTTTATTTCTTAGATATTTTTTTCTCTCAGTGTGTACACGAGAGATGCCAAGACACGTCGGCTTTAGAAGGAAAACAGGAAAGAGAACGTTCGAGAAATGAGGATCTCGAACTGTTAAGATTTCTTCAGCGTTCGAGCTACACGACTTCCATAATATTTTCGGAACTGTTAAGACCTTCGACGTCCTCCACACTTCTCCCGCGTTCGATGTATTTTCAAGATGGGGAATAACAATGTGTTATCATTTCGCAGAGATCCTCGGAAACTTAGAAATCGGTGAAACGCGGATTCGTCTGAAATCTATCGTGAAATCGAAACGCCACGGGCCGTCTTATTGTATATGCTTGTACGTCAAGTTTATGCGTGCGTGTCGCACAGCACGCGAGAGTCGCGTAACAGGTATGTACGTGCGCGCTCTGATATGACGAAATTGGGTTACCTAGCGAGAGCCGACGTGCGAAGACGTACTGATAATTCGTGATAACGGGAAGGAACAACGATAATCGAACGCGCTACGCATTGATTTCTCGGTTTCCTTCGTTCTTATCTGCCTGATTCGTTGCGACGCAATTGCGCGATTCACCTCTACAACTCTCGTATACACTCGAAAGAGACGTGCGGATGCGTCGCTGAGCCAATAATAAGGGGGTCCTTATCTCTTTGACTCAATCCTTTGTCCACACGACATTAATAGTTGATGAAAAGATGCTTTTGAAAATATCGAAAAAATATAACGGTAAGATATTG